TGGGAACGAGAAGAAGACCTTGAAGCCTGGAAGACGAAGATCGAGGACTTCAAGTTGCAGCAGTTGACAGGGACGTCAACCGTTTAAGTGGGGGAGAATGTTGTGGGCATGCTTGTCCAGGGTGTGTTACCCATGGCCGCATGTCCAAACCATCCTCRCCASTCRCTTTCCTTTCATGTCTTTAAAGCTTTCTAGTGTAATTTTCTTGTATCGGGTTTTTGGGGTTGTAGGTGGAATTTGGCCGAGCGGCTTTGGAACTAGGTGTGTATTAGTAGGATATGTAAGCACGCCAAATTTCAAGCCAATCGGAGTTCACACGGGCCCTGTAGGCCACCGAGTGACTCCTCGCCACTTAGGACGTCTACACCTGCCACACCAAAAATGCCTTATAATGTACCTTAGGGGGGACCAAGTAGTCATCAAACCTCCCCCCGACCAAGTGTTGTATACTTTCTTGCAATCAAAGCTTTCTTGCATCCAATGTCTACAATGCTTGTTTTAAAGATGTTTTCAACTGTTTTTCTCTCTCACGTTTTCTAAAACCAATTTTCTCCTAAAACGTGAGCGGAGGCTAGACCCACGACCGAGATTGTCCGCAACTTACAGTTTTTCCTGGCTGACTTGCTCGTTTGAGCTAGAGCAAGTGCCGCACAATCGCTCGAGCTGCTTCGAAAAGGTGCGATTGTGACACTGGGCATCTTTATATGTTGTTTGTTGGGTATCGAATCCTACCGGCTAAAGAAAACTAGTAACGCTATTCTAAATTGTAAAGTCGTCAACTTCCAGATATATGTTCCTGTTAGAAACTTGACATTGAAAAAGGGAGGCCAAATTTGGATGACTGGAGTACGACGAGAGAGAGTTTTCTTCCATGGAATATCAATGATCTATTCCAACCACACACTGAGGGGATCCTCATAGAACATTTAGTTAACCAGTGACTTTCCTTTGGCCTGATAAAATTACGCGCCTAATTGTAAATGCAACACCAGTGGCAATATGATATTTTCTTAAAAGAAACATAAATAGCACAAAAATTCATAAGAATACCTTGTCTCCAGAAGATATATTTGTTCTTCCTTCAGCCTCTCTGGCAGAAAGAGCTCCGATGCCAATTGATGGCAAGACTGTATTTTAATTAAAAAGAATCCGATTAGGTTATGAAAATAATATTTTCAAGATCTACTAGGTGGTGCTAAACAAGAAAAGATGCGCTCATAACAAAATAGTGGCCCCTTATGGCAAAGGATTCAAAGGTAATAACAACATCATAAATATGTTAACTTATTTACCATGTAGACTTTTCCATTAGTATTATTGAAAAAGTTGTCTCTAAGACCAAGAGAGCTGTTTCAAGAGGGAGGACTCATTTTTCTACCAGAAAAAGGGCAGGTAGAAAGGTAAGCATAAAGTAAAATGTGTGATGTGATATTTGCATTCTGAAGATTATAAGATTTAAGAGAACGACAGAACTCTTAGACATTAAAGAGCAAAGAGATGCACAAAGACAGAGTATCTCCCTCACCAATTTGTGCACCATATTCCAGAAATATATTAAACAAGCACAAATCACAAAATCCCAGTCCCCAAACTCCAGTCACAAAGATTTAAATCTTATTCAGCTAAGCTAAATGGACTTGGTAATGGGCTATATTGTTCATGATTTTTCCCAAAATATCCCTCGATATCCAAATATCCGTCAATATATTCGTAAATTTTATGAATATCAACATTTCATCTTTGGTAATGGGCATGAACATGGGATTCCAAGAGAAAAAGAAGCCTTTTTCATTTATGTGCAAAAATAGGTGAAACAATTTTTTTTTTTTTTTTGAATTTCACGCCCCTGTATGATCTTCAAATAATCCAGACAGTTAGCTCAAAATGTTAAGAAAAATCCCAATAGTAGGACACATACCATCTTGATTTTTATGTTTTCTCCATGTTTCATAACCCTAACCCTATGTGTTTCTTTTCTTCTTCCTTCCCCCTCCATGTTCTCACTCAATCCCTATGCACCTCTTTCTTTTCACCTCCATTTGATTCAATTCCTATGTACATCATCTTTGTAATATTTTTTCCCCCTCGCATGCATACATTGATAAGACCTTGAATTTTTTGTGAAAGTGTATAAATCAACACGGCTTCTTGGTGCCTCAACCATGAGAAATTTTTTTGTAACTACAGTTCAGATGTTATGATTGAATGGCTACATTGCATTACCTTTTTGGGAGGGGCCTTCTCAGCCCCAGCCAGGTCCTTAGGTTGTTCCCTTTGTTTTTCTATATATTTTGTCTCTTATAAAAAAAAAAGATAAGACCTTTCCGCAGGACCCTCCTCCATTCTACTTCCCCTGATTTTGATAAAAATCGACACCCACTCTCTCTCACTATGTCACTTGCCCATCCACTTCTCTCTCAGCAGCCCTGCCCTACCCGCATCCCCATTTCATTACAAGCAACTTGTAAGGTATCTCCTTACAATTTGATATTCAAAAGTGTTCAACACAAAACAAACTTACAGCCCTAGGGCAAACCAAGTTCTTCCAAGACTTATAAAATGACAAAACATACCCAAAACAAGCTAAACCTCTATCTTATAACCAACCTCCCCGTACAGCCCCTTTCCTAACTGTCATTTGGGGAGGAATTTCCCTCTCTACCCCTCCTTACATAGGTATTTACAATGGGGGCCCTCACACAACTCTTCCCCATCCATGGATTTTAAGGCTTTTATCCAACCTATATTGTACTCAAATGATTAACTGGGGTGGTTTTTTTATTTATTTTATTATTTACTAATGCTTGATCATCTAATCATTGTCACCTTTCTCGCCTTTTTGTTTCAACCAAAATTTTAAAAGTATTTGCATACTGAAATCCGACACTATATTTTGCACGCCAGTCAAATGTCAAATGTCCAAGTCCAACTTGCTCATGAAGGACAAGATAACATGTCCATGCCACATGGTGCACAAATAATAGTAATAGTTTTCATGTTATATTTCTAGCTAAATAAACAAAGCAAAAAACAAATTAAGAGGCTAACAGCAATACATTCTCAATAAAATAATATGTGCACTTATGAACTTGCCTGATTGGAATACCAAAATTTTGCCTCCGGTATTTTTCATTGCCAAGAAAGCCGCCTAAAATAAGTGAAAATAATTATCACAATATGATGTAAAAATTTATTTAGAAGTGAGATGCTTGCTTTTTTTTTTTTTTCTCCTTGATAAGAAACAAAGATAATATAAACAAAATTCTGAGTTGCATGGAAAAAGCATTACAAGGAGTATTAACAAAATCAAGCTTTCTAGTAGTGAACAGACTGTAAAATCAGTCTAGTCTAAATGATGAATGAATATCAGCCAATTTTTTTAATATAACTGATCAGTATTGAGCGAAATTCTCTTTCATTTTACAGTATTTTTCCTTTTTTTTTTGGTCAGAAACAAGTATTTCATTGATGTATGAAATAACCAAAATGCTATAACGGCTAATTACATGAAAGCCCGCCAATTAGAGGTTAGGGCAGATAGAGAGTAGTTGTTGAAGGGAAAGTAATAACATCTACACCATCCAATGGCTAAAACCATAACCCTATAAAAAAAAAGAAAAAAAAAACCTCAAAAGGGAGAAGTGTGGCGTTGAAAACAGAATTCTTTCATCACCGGTCCCTTGAAAACAGAAACATTATCAACTCAAGTACATGTGATACAAAGGTAATGCCTTTAAGATTTTAAAGCCTTGAACATTTTAAAGCTTTCTTTTCGGATAATTTTTGTTAAGTTCCAAAACATCTCTTCTTTTGTTACTATCAACTGGAGGGTCTACCTGTAAAGCTTTTGTATAGGTGATTTAGTAGATTTTTGGGCTGCCTTTTTTCTCTTCTCCGTATACAATTTTGCATGACCACCCCATTTTCTTTTTTTGTTTTTTTTTTTTTGTGGGGGTAACAGGCAACAAAAACAATATTATCCCAATTTATACAGCGACTGTAATAGTATCATAAAAAATCTTTCTATTCCCTTTTAACCAAAATTCCCACAATATATCCTGAATAGCATTTAAACTAAGGATCTTGGTCTTTATTTGTAGGGATAGTTTATCATTATTTTTTTCTAAACAAATAGAAATGAGAATTTCAATGATAAATGAAATTACAAAGACGGTGATGAGACGAGAAACCACGAAGTCAAAGGATTACAAAAGGCAGAATTTCACTGATATTTATCATTCATATTTAATCCAAATGGGTCTTCATGCTAATGAAACAACAATTCGTTAAGCATACCTTTACTCAACCATAATTCTAAAACATTTGTGTTTTAAATGTAAAAAGCAGCAATTGCAGAGTGGTCAATTTATATGATATAAAGCAATGAAAAACATACTTTGATTGCAGCACCGAAGGCTGACTCGGTGGTTCTATTACTCTGAAACATTGTTGGAATACTTTCAAGCAACAACTCCAAATGTTGACGGCACTATTCCCACAAACAAGAATTGACATTATTAAAGAAATGGAAAAGGTAAAAATAAACATCTTGTACATCACAGAAATCCAACATTTTGGAAAATCTAACCTCTGAAAGTTGAACAATAACATCAGACTCCAGAGGAGTATAAACATCTTGTACATCAGGGACTATGAGCATCAAAGGCTGAAATGACATAATGAACATCATTAGAAAATCAGGGACTATTAGTAGCCTTCATAATACATATGCATTCAGTCCCTAATTATTTACAATGAGACCAAGGGCAGGGATGGGATCAAATATCTACTATAACAAATTCTGGATGATACTTAAACTGAATGCTGTACAACCATTGATGAGCAATTTTAATTCTTCAAAGTGTAGCTAAATTTTATTCAAACTAATATGCAGCTGGAAGCTTATCTTGAATGGCATTGAGTCATACTAGTATTGACCCGATCAGAATTCCTAGGTGTTAAAAGTTAGTTTTAGCTGTGGTAGAGAGAAAACCCATTACAATAATAAACAACTGAGCATTTTATAATATTGTTATATAAGACACATCTGTCCAAATTATTTTTCCAAATCATGAAAGCACAATCAATATATATTTATTGATGAAAAACAGATTATTCATAAAGCAATGTTAAAAAGAAACACTTGAAACATGAAAATTACTCATCAATAATTAGCTTATAATCAGATAAGGAAATAAAGTCATAACTATTGTAGGAAAACCTTTTTTTAATGTGAAATCATGCTTTCATTGATAAAAATTGAAAGAATATACTAAGGGGCATACAAAAAACATGGACAACAAAAGTGGATCCACCTGTAAGAACTAACCCAAATCCAAAATAATGACACCTAGCCGACAATTACGAAAAGCTTTGAAACAGAAACCTAAAGAGAGGTATTAAATCGAACCAGCTCCCGAATTTTCCCTCAGACCTCTCCACTCTCTTGAAAATTTTGTTATTCCTTCATATCAATCCAGATACCCCACAAAATGGAAAATAACAAACTTTCAATAGCAGGATCCCTCTGTCCTGAAAAGGTGAGAACAACACCACCTCCTCCAACGTTCCCTTGCAATCCTATTCCCAGCCCAAGAAACCCCAAAAACCTCTAGGAAACGAATCCAAAATTGAAGGAAAACTTTTCTTTGCCCACAAAACATATAACATCTAAAATGGAGAGAGATAACAATGATGGAATTGTGACCTGCTGTAGTGCACGTTTCAGATTGTAAAAATGAATTGTTGAGTCAAATGTTGCAATTCCAACAAATGTTCGAGGACCTTCCTGCAACATCACAGTGTATACATCAGTCGCTAGGATAGAAAAAAGAATGTCATAAAAGGCTAAAGATGGTTGAAACAGAAAAAGAAGAATTCAAATTTAGATCCTATTCGTAAACATCAATATTAGCCAAATCCAACTCCCCTACACCAAAACGCACTGACAAAAGAATAACAAGACACAATGATACGTAACATAACACTATTGGGGAAGCAAGTTATTTGAAAAATACAAATAGAAAAAGGAATATTTTCCAAATGGCCAAGTTCCTCAACCTCAAGTGACATCGTGCGCAGATTTCAAATAGGGTTCTCTGCAAAATGGCCTTTTAGCAATTTCAAATAGGGTCCAATTAATTAAGGGGCATTCAATAACTGAAACATATGCAGTAAAAATTTGTCGGATTGCATAGAAAATCTTTGCCAAATTTCTCATAGCTTTTAGATTGTTATAAAGAGTCCAACTAACAAAAAAGGCCATCAACAACAGAAAATAGGATGTAATTGGTTAGAGGAGACAGGACGAACCCTGAGAACAATATAACAATTAAGCAAAGGTCCCACAAGGTACCTCCATCAGAAGATGGCCAAACTATATAGACAGACAAACTTTAGAACTGCCTCCGTCCAAGGTTTAATGGCATAAACTGAAGGTTGAATGCCAAAAAAGAATAAAACAAAACAGTGTGAAAACAAACTATAATACAAACCATGTATAAAGCCATCCCCCTAAGGCATAAATACTGACGGCAACTCCATCATAACCTCCAATATTTCCACCCCCATTCCCTTGGTGAAGTAAGAGAAAAATACAAGACCCCACGATGGCTATTTATCAACCACATGATAAATTGCGATTTAACTGTACAAAAACACTGCAGATAGTAATGGTCGCTTTTTCTCACTTTTGGAAAAACCAGAAGGAAACAAACAAGAAATAATGTTGTGTGGTATCAGTCAGATTTTTGAACAGCGAGCAGATCTTCGCAATGAACATTTTTAAAATCAAATAACAAAAAGAAAATACACCCACAGTTCCAAACGCTAAGGGATTACAAATTTAAACAAGTGAAGGCAAACTTGAACTGTCAAAAAGATGAATAATCATATGAAACCCTATCACTACAGAAGTTTCAGTTTATGTCAGACAAGAAAGCAGACTTGCAATAAGTTTCTCTATACAAAATTACCAACCCAAGATTATTTCAGATTAGTTTTAAGTAATTATAGAACCAAAGAAAGGAACTCTTAAGGTGATATGATACCAATTCTTTGTGGTCACGCATCACAGATGCATACCACAAGAAAAAAATTCATGAACTCTCGTAAATACAAGTACAAATACAACAGAGTACCACTGAAGCCTATAAATTATAAATACGTACATGCATATATCATGTATCCAGTCAAATGTAGAACTTACAGGTAAATCAGAAATAACTTGACTAATTGCACTGCAGGCTGCAGCAGTAGCACCAGTTTGTATTGCATTCATGGATACATCGATGAGGAAAAAATAGACAGCTGGCATTGGATCACGCACCTGGAGTCAAATAGGCATCAGAAACAGTGTACGTACATATATACATATATACATATAATATATATAATGTAAAATAAGATACCAATTGAATAAAATTAAATGACAAGATTGCCAAAACTACAGCATAACTTGAAGGAAATGAAATGGTAAGATTGCCAAAGCTACGGTATAATGAGGGATACTATTAATTAATAGCACCTAGTGGTATATACAGCACATGCTAATGCTACCAAGAAAGTGTAGAAAGCTAAAAAGATGTTATTTGACATAAAGTAAAATAAAATAAGGTATAATTCCTACACAAGTCCCAAGTGAAATATATGGTGGAAAAATTCCACTCAGGCTAAAACAAATCATGTCAGTCATAAGAGAAATGGTCCACATCTATCAAACCAATGACAAAACGTTAGGAGAAAACAAAAAATTGAACTCCACACTAATGAAGTATTATTATAAACCAACTACCATGTATTCCTTAGAAGCAACAAATTCTACTGTTCCCCTACACAGTTCAGGCCTTTCATCAGCATCTCTTCTTCTACCATCTGGACCAAGATTACAGTGGTACTCACGAGGAGTATCATCAGTAAAACCTGAAAAGGAAATGGCATAGAGTGAGAAGTCACTGTCTACATAGGAAATGACGAATAGAATTCCACACTAATTAGCATTAGACAAAAAAGCAGCATTATGTATAACAACTAAATAGGGAGGTTTTTTTTATAGCTAAGAGTCGAAGTTTTATTCCCCTATACTCAGGGGCACCCGTGCCAAGCTTGAAAAGGTAATGAGCTTCAAAGGAATGCCCTTAACAAAAAAGTACCATGAGTGACATCACATATCCAGAAGACATAAAAAGATGGTACATAAACCTAGTTGCAGAAATGATAATACCAAGGATCCCATGTCAATCGAGCAACAAATATCCAAGGTTTAAGTTTAAGGAACAAAAAAAATGAAAATATCCCACTAGAAAAAGTAGTAACATCTTTACTGACCACATAAGTTACAGATGAACCGTCTTCCCTGATCAATGAACTTCATAAAAGGATTTATATAGCCTTTGCAGCGAGAACATCGAACCGGCCCACTTTCCCCAAAATCCACAACCTATAAGATAAAATCCACTGAATAAACAAAGCCATCACTGTTTAATAAATTGTGCCATTTTACAAGACATCAAAATTTTGCAATAATATCTTCCTAGTATGCATAATACGTTAAAGAACCGGTAAGAGCGTATTTATAACCATTGTGTAACAGATAAATCATTTGAAGGATGATCTAGTAGGGAAAGGGCAATCTTGCAATTTTCTGTTCAGGTTTGTCATTTTTCTGGATTAGTTTATTAATTGGTTTTCAAAGTTGCTAGTATGTTTGATTAGATGCTAGGTGGTGCACCACTGCCTAAAGTAAAAATCATTTGACCATGATAAACTAACTCTTTGATGAGGAAATAATGAAATGTGAACTAATTTGACACACCTAATAAAATTTTTTTTAATAATATAGGAAGAAAAAATGAACTAACTTTACAGTGAACTGCTATTATTGCATCTTTAGTTTATAAAAAAAAATAGTGAAAAAGGGATGCACTGCGTACTTGGATGGGCTCCTCAGAAGGATGTAGAAGAGCAAATGGTTGGACTAACAACGCTAACTGCATGGCTGATGTATTCAAAAGATCAGCGGTGCATGGGATCTGAAAAATTATGAAAAGTCAAATGACTATATGATATAAAGATAAAGAGTGCTTCAAAAAAAAAAAAAAAGATACAGAGATTTCGCAAGGTTTCCATCAACTAGAGTATTAAGCAAAAGATATAAATGGAAAACTGATGAAATCAATACTAATCACTCACCTGACCAATGGTGCACCTCATAAAACGTGGACTGCAATTTCCAGTGTCTCTCACAATATACTCACTTGATGCAGGCTTCAGAAAGTGTAAATAAGGAAAATTATAACAGTTCAAGCGCAAAAGAAACTAACACCATCAGTAGTAAATAAATTGAAATTTGTGTTCATGCAACACACTATCGGTAAAATCACTAGGACAAGAAAATCAAACAGGGGAGAAATAAAAAGGAGAATATCATGAACACCATATATATTGAGAAAATACCGGGGGCAGATTAGCCTGGTTGCCTTGACGAGTGTCAAACAGGATGACTGACGAATTTGGAACAGGTCTAGGTATTTGATTTGGATCAATCTTTGATTGCGTAGCTGCAGGAGATCCAGTTTGACCAATAGCAGGCGAGATGGTAGTCATAGATTGGTTAGGTGGAGGTGGAGGCATCCCAAACATTCTAGGTGGCTGCAGTTGTCCGGTAATAGGTGGAGGAACTGCTGCCTGGTGTCAAAATAAGAAAAATAATCAAGTTTTTTTTTAACAAGAAATTCAACTTTTTCATTAAGATAAATCAAAAATCAAAAATTTAGGCAAGACAAAAAATAATGCATTGGCATGACACAGGTGAGTCTTATCCATTCTCCCAACTTCTGAGACGAGGAAACAGAGGCAGCAATATCAACCTTAGGCTCTCGAGAATTTTAACTTTTTTGAAAGAAAAAAAAAACTGCCTTCATACTTCATGATGCATGATACTCTCAGCTACAATCGTCATATATATAGGCGAGAGTCTGATATCTATTTGATAAGTCAATTAAAAATTAAAATCATCAAGCTAAACTATAGATATTATTTGGACACATACAAGTTACAATTCGAAAACCAATTCACATAAAGAATTGGATTATCTCCGATATCAATTTCTGGAAAAATTTGTAACTAGAACTTCTTTGGTTAGCCTTGAGGCTTTCCTCCCGTTTTTGTACCCTCATCTCACTTTCTCAATGAAGTTTGTTTCCTACTCACAAAAAATAAAAATAAAAAACCTCCCTGCATTGTGTATTTTTGAGAGAGAGGGCAACAGTACTGCAACCCACGAAATGCACAATCCACAAATACACTGATAAAAGTTGGTCGTCACACGATATGTTCAATAGAATAATACAAAGTGGTCATTGCACAAAACTAACAAGTTTAAAAATGAATGGTGACTACCTGACCAGGTTGCATTGGCCATGTTGGTGGCCCAAATGGGGAACCTTGAGGTGGTGATACTCCTTGAGACGCCGACTGAAACGGTGGTGCTGGTTGCCCGGGAGGACCTGGTGGAGCAGAAAATCCTGTACCACCTGGAACAGAATGCATAAATGGAGCCCGAGCAGATGCTCCCATTGGTGGAGGACCAACAGATGGTTGAGGGCCTTGTAGTGTATTGGCTGCTGGAGGAAAACGTGGCCCACCAGGGAAGCTGTTCTGCACGAATGTTGGGGGGCCATTACTCAACGTACCACTCTGAGAACTTGATGGGGGCATGCTTGGGCTGCTAATAGAAGGGGGAAAGGCTGCACTTGGACGTGCACCGAGTGGAGGTGTAACTGAACTACTGGACAAACCTGAGAGGACATTGCCGGAAGGTGGCCTATAAGCAGGTTGGCCAGGATTCCCAACACCTGGAGGGGGTGGCCTGGACACTAATGGAGAAGGTTGTCCAACTGGCGGCCCACTGGCTCTCATTGGAGTCATATTTGGAGGTAATGCAGATGGTGGAGGCCCTGATGAAGATAGATTAGGTCGGGAAATTGAAGCCGGGGGTGGCCCCGGCCGTGAAAACGGTGGTGGCGCACCGGATATCCCAGCTGGTGGGGGTGCTGACGAAGGGAAAGGTGGTGACTGGCCAAAGGGAGGTCTGGGGAATGAATTGGGCATTGAAGGAGGTCGATTGAGATTCAAATTCTGAAAATTATCAGCTAAAGAACCAGGGTTCGTCTGAGAATTAGGGTAGTAATTAGGCGGTGGTGGTGGATTTTGATTGCTATTGCTTTCATTGGGCCGAGGTGCCCCTGGAGGCACAAGAGCTGCCATTAAGACTTTCCCACTCCAATTCAATAGAATCTCTCTATACAAATGCTCTCTACGGGTTCAACAACCCAGATCAACTCTGCAATAAAACACCAAAACAACAATTAACATTAAGAATTCCCAAATCCCCGAATTCCCACAGAAATCTTACAAAATCAAGATTCAATTCCCATAATCATTACACCCATTCGGCCACAACATAACCCGAGAAACCGATACTGAAATCGATGCATCCTCTCTGAATCAACCACCATACAGATTAACAATAACGCTCAACCCGATATTTTTAGATTTCCAACACGAAATCAACAGCAATTCAACAAGATTTCAATCCAGAAGAAGAAATGAGGGAATATAATCAAAGATCCGCAACAGAAATGAGGAATCCTGAGAGAAGAAATAGAACCTGGCGGGTTGTTGATGCAGCTGCTGGTTGTAAGAAGGACGAGACCCGGCACCGGTAAACGAAGGCCCGAAGTGAAAGAAAACGAAAACGTATGAGAATGGCACATGCAACTATTAAAGGCCCGTGTACATTGACAGCGTGTTCTTTTATCCTAGCAATTTTATTATTTACTTATTTACTGTTATGTTAAATTACCATTTTAGTCTTTTATACTTTATAAATTTCAATTTAGTCCTTCTAATTTCATGATTTTTTTTTTCATCTTGTCCTCTATTTGCATCAATATAGTTCAAGAAGTGATTTAAAAGAGATGTGATTTGAAATTTCATAACTGACTTTAGATTTTAGATTTTATATTATGGTCTGAAATGAGAATGATTTTAAATTAATATAATTGAATTTCTTTATTTAGATGTCTGCGAAATAAAAAACAAAAAGTGTAACCTGATTTAGATTTTTAATCATAACTTATTAATTAAAATTTAAAATATGACAACGTTAAATAAGTAATTCATTTTGAAATTCTTTGAAGTTCTGTCTTTGTCTGGAAGTTTTTTAACACAAAGACAGAAATCAACAATATACTTCATTTGAAATCGGTGCCAAATAAACCATGGGTGCTTGATATAACTTATTGATTTTAGCCTGCTGTATTTGTTTACTAAGAGAATTTTTATGATTTTAAATATTAAGTTTGCTAGAACACAATATCTAGTCGAGAGAATGTTAGATACTAATAAAAGCTCGATAACAATGAGCATTAGCAGGGAGCAAGGATTCAGACAATCAAAAGTATATAGGAGTCTTGTCAAATTTCATGCACGGTTGAGAAACAGTAACAATAATGGAAGAGGAATGATTACCTGTCACAATAATATCATCAACATAAAGAAGCAAATATGTAAGATGGATATCACTATGATAAAGAAACAAGAGATGTGTATCAAGTGTAGAAAGATAAAAGAAGTGAAGTAAAGACATGCCTTATAATAGAATCGCGCTAGACTTTCACATTATATCAAGTGAACCTAAGATGTACTTACTTAAATATTTGAACAACATTAATATAATTTTTAAATATTCATCTACTTAGAATATTAATTGTCATACAACTAGTTTGTAACACATGCCATGCACGTGATAGGTAGAAGTGCAAAGTAGTAATATTATATCTATATTCTAAAATATAGTTATATTAAAAAGAATTATAATTGTTAAATTTTAGAAAAAAATAATTATAAAATTAGTTTTTTTAATTATAAAGAATTTTATAATCGGTAAACTTGATATTTGTATTTGAGACTGTTTTGTTGAAACAACTTCATCTTTCATTTTAATACAATGCTATGTAATTGGTAAATACCAGGGTAGCTAATTTGCTGTTAATATTTTGTCTTGGTATTTATTATTGGACTCTTATCTCTCTTCCTTTTTGTTATCTTTCACGCTTTAAGATGAAAGACTTACTTATATAGCCAATTTAGTAGGTTCCTATATTATGATGGAAATGCCCACTAAATTAGTGGGCATGCTATTACACTAAATTTAGAAACTTTAGAAAAATAAAATTAAGAAGATAAGAAAAATATACTAAGAATAGATGGTATAGACGTTTTGTGAAAAATAATAATAATAATAATAATAAAAGTAATAGTTATTTAACTATTAATTTTAAAACTTTCAAAATTACATCATTTTTAGAAATAAAAGACATTTTTTTTATTATATTAAACTTTTCATATTCTAAATCTATCCATTCTTACCCTTCTTAATTTTATGATTTATTAAATTATTATATTTATTTTATTATTATTTATTATTTAATTATTCAAATTCTAAAACTTTTATACTTCTATTATTAAATATTATTATTATATATATTAGAGTTATTATATTAATTTTTACCTTTTTTAAATATATTGCTTAGTAATTTATTACAATTAATTAAATAAAGATGATACTTAAAATTTAAATACTTTATTTATTGAAGAATAATTAATTGTTAATTACATGCTATTAGAAATGAATAAATAGACATAATTATATTATTTAATATTTAAATCGTAAAATTTATAAGTTTCAATAAAATGAAAATAGAAAGAGAGTAAAGATAAAAACGGAAGATAAAGAAATAAAAACATAGGATGTTTAATGTTTGAAAAGAGAAATGAGTGGGAGAGATACACGTACAAAATGTGGAAGAGAGAGAAATGTAAATTCTTAAAAGGATAGTTTCGGTATTATCGAAAAAAGCAAGACTAATATCGTCTAATAAACATTTCTTCCATCCGTACTTTTATATATACTAGTGAAAGTGCATTGCACGTGGTTTGAACATATATTTTTTTTGGTGAAATTTAAAATCTAAATAAATAATTTTTTTATTGAATTTAAATATTAAATATTTTGATATGAATTAAAAAAAAGGATAATTAAAATTTAATTACATATAATGTAATTCAATTGAAAGTTGTAAAGTAAAATTGCTACTTCATAGTTGTCTTTTGTGAATGGTTTGATTTATAAAGAAAATGGCATAAATATATTTAATAAAAATTCTATAGGTTAACTTAAAACAAATTAAAGAAGTATATAATAAACTGAAAATTGATTAAAATAAGAATCAATCGATAAACAACATATTTTATATGTGAGGAGGGACAACTTTGATCTTCCGGTGATTTAATAAGAAAACAAAATCACTCCTACCTCAATTTAATAAACAAAATACTAAGGACACTACCAAATAAAAATAAAAAGTAGTTAAGATTATTAAAAAAACAATGGTCAAGAGAGATAAATATGATTTTTTTTTTAATTTTCATAATCGTCTCTCTTTCTATTTTTAACTGGATTGTGTTACTCTCACTCTCAATTGACTGAAATCCAAAATAGTTTAGACCATGAAAAAAAAAAACAATCAAATGGGATAAATAGGAACATTAAATATAATTTTTTACTCTACCTCTTCATCGTCTAAAATTAATTTTTGCATTTGCAAATCTTCATTTTGACATTTTCAATGTTTCCCTACAAAGAAAAGAAAACTTTTAATTTTCATTATTATGAGAATGTTTAAAAGAAAAACCTTTGTAGATATTATGGGTTAAGGAAAAGAATACAAAATTTTGATGTATCAAGACTTAATTTTCTTTCATTTTATAAATAATTTGTAAGAGAATAGACTCATTGTTTAATCTTCACACCTCTAGGTCGATCACACCCATATGTGTGAACGGACACACTGCTTCTCTCAACTGACAACTCATTTATAATAATTTGCAATCACACCTATATGTGACTGAATGCATTATTTGTCGAACATACAAAACCCATTTAGATTAATTTCTCTCAATAGACACCTCTCTTAATTTTTATTTTTATCTCGTTTATTTCCATCACAGTATTTGAATTTTATTCGCTAAATTTCTTGAAATATAGTCATAATTTTATATTATATGATTTTGTTGTGTATAAAATTTATATTAAAAATTTTACAAATAATTACCAAATTGGTCACTTTTTAGAGGTACAAATATCGAAATGGATGTTTTACAACAAAAGTAAAAACTACACATACTAAAATAGATGTTTTAAAAGTACGTGAACTAAAATGAATAAATTTGAAAATTACAAATACAAAAAATAGTATTTAAAGCTGATATTTATTACTTTGGACTTCGACCAATCCCCTCTGGCCCTCTATGAAGGGAACAAATCTACATTTGACACTCAAAGAAAGCCCAATTTTATCTGCTTCGATGGGTAAATAGGAAAGGCTGGAGGTTATGGGCCCGTATTCTCATGGAAGGCCCAATAGAGGCAATTGGAAGCCCATCGGCATCTTTATTAATAATATACTTCTGATTTTATTTTCATTTAAAAGTAATGTCATAATACAATAGCTACTTGCATCAATCTTGTTACCCTCACGTTATATTTTGAAGTTGACAATTGCAATTTATAAAGAATAAATAAGTAACACTTACATATTCAATCGAATTATAAAAAAAAAAAAAAACAGAGGTACTTGAGGTAAATTTACAAAATTGGAAAAATAAATCAACAAATATACTAATTTCATGAATTCCCTTCCTCTTTGATTTTTCCTTTTGCCATTTCTCTCTGTTATTTTCTCTTGCTGTGCTTCAAGTCTATCATAATTTCTAGCCTTACCTTACCCACAACAAATCAAAGAGTTTGCTGTTTCAGGTCAGATACTAAATTTCTCTCTCCTGTGCATCTTGATGGGAAGAAATTTGGTAGGCGATCAATTATGCTCTTACCTTTGAATACACAAAGAACACCTTTTTTTTTTTAGTGTTAAAGGATGCTTTTTGCGGCCATTGTGCATCCTTAACACTTAACAGCCAAGACTAGAGAGACCACGTTTACCTATTCAAGTGTTTGAGATGGAAACATCAAACAAGATGATCTTTGTTGTTTCAAGAATCACTTCAAGCGGATGAGTAAACTTCACATATTATCTTACCACCTAGTAAATCGAGCAGCTTGCCTGAATTATTCGGCAGATCTTGAGGACATTCCATCTAAGCCTTGACACCAGAATTCATCCAAACCCTAAAAAAACCCACACGATACGAATATGAATGGAACTCTATATTCATAAACTTTGGTAAATACGTCAAAAAAAACAAGATGTTCTTTGGAAATTTTTTTTTTAAAAAATTAAAAAAATGAATTTGTTTTGGCAATTTCAATTTAAAAAAAAAACAGAAAATCGCTCCCCCCGACCCTCCACGTCCATGCACACACGCCATTATCAATTCTTCCATTACATTAATGGTTCTAAATATCCGTCGATACGTCGATATTTCTACCGACATATCCATATTTCTATGTGTTCGACATCGACATGAGGATCAACATGAAGGGTGAATCGACATTTCCATCGTAATACAAAAAATCGACAAAATAATACTAATATATATATATATATATATATTAATATTAATTATTTAAAACTAATTTATAAATGTAAAATATTAATTCTCTCTCAGCACTCTCCCTCTTTCTTTTCAATTCTCCTTTCCCTCTTCGAACATTTGCACAGTGCCCCTCAATTGTGTCCTTAATAAAATTGAATTGAACACCGTAGATTTTCAACCTTCGGAGGGAACGTTAGATTGAATTAGCTAATTTTTTTAGCATTGAAATCTCATAACATTATCTCATTTTTAAAAAGTAATTTTGATTTATGGGTGCAATTTTCAATTCGAGAGTTTAATTTTTACTATAGAATGCTTAGTAGTCTAATATTTCACTTATTGAGAGTTTAATTTTTATAATTGAAAATTTAACGACGTAATAATTGTAACAATACTCATACTTCAAGTTATGGTTTACGCAATTTACCTTTCTTCTTTTTTATTATTTTTTAGTTACTTCAATTCTTCCATTAGGTTACAAAATCCAAACCATGTTCAATTAAAAATCTCAAAATAAACTAGTAGTTGCCCCAAAATAATAAACTCATAAACCAAAGTTAAAAATGTCATAATAATATAATCACTCAAAGCCAAAAGTAACACTTTCATATCTTTATTTGAAAAATAAATTATGAGGTACTTGAGAATCCACGAAATTGGAAAAAAGGAAAAAACAAATATGCGCTACTAAGGAACGATAATTATATTTGTGTATGTTTAATTGTGTATTTATAATTTTAAGCTTCATTAAATCAAAAGATGTTATTTGCTAAGTGATTTTACGAAGTTTTATAAGAATATTATTTACTTTATAGTCTTATATACCCATCAAATGAGGAGGGTTGTCTCAAATTTGAGCACATGTTCCTGAATGAGACATTTATTATCATATATATACCTAAGTTCGATGATTTGACTTCCCATCCTACAGTTATTAAACTCAATAATAATAAAAATAAATAGAGAAAACCGTTCCTCTCAGATTTGAGTTACATAATTGAAGAAGATCAAAAATAAAAATCAAGGAAGCTAGAGAGAGAACAATAAATGAGGAAAAATTAAAAATATACCCCTACGCCTTGTATAGATAAGAAAACTGTAAATAAAAATACATATGTTCAATTACAATGCTCCAGCTCCAATAATTGGTATTGAAATTTGGGAGGGAGAGAGATAGAGAAGAGAGAAAATAAAAATGGACCTTCTTGAGCAGGACACAAGTGTTGAGGGCTCCTGCTCCTTGAACTTCTTCTTGTTCCTCCAAATTCATAATATTCTTCTTCCAGGATTTCATTGACTCAATCCATTGTCTAAACCTAAGCTGCGTTGGTGAAACAAAAAGTGACGAGTCTCAGATGATGTAATTATGGTGTATTCCGTAGGTGTGGCAACCTTTGATAAGAGCAAAGCTCTCGTACCTATCCGTAGGTGTGCTTTATGAAGGTGTGGCAGCCTTTGATAAGAGCAAAACTCTCGTACCTAATCGAGAGTAGATGGATGAGTGACACACCTTTCAAAGTCTACCTATAAACAACCTACTTAAAAGACAAGTATTGATTTAATTATAATTTTTAATTATAAGTATTGATTTATAATTATAATTAAATCAATATTTTGTTTATAATTTAAATCAATTAAAACTTAATTGGAATATTTTGTTGTATATAATTTATAGTTGGGTTATTAGAATAAAAAACATTGTGGAAAATTTTTGCAGAAGCATGGTGTAAATATAAATATAAGAAATAATCTAACATTCTCTCACAGAAGCATACTAGATATGAGGTTGCTGACCCATATCTTTATCTGATAAATTTTTCCTTCGCCAGGTTAGCACAAATGTTCTCAGTTCAGCATCTTGGTGTGGAATTGGATTGGAATAATTTGCTGGTAAATTCAAGTTCAATGATCTATATTTTTTTTGCCTATCAGCGCTGGGTGAATGAACCTGAAATGATTCTGTGCTGAAACACAAACTTCTTTGGGCTACATTCATGGATATAGATATTTTTTCATTTCTGCCGCTAGTTTATTATTATTATTATTATTAATTCTAACTTTTTTAATATTATTTTCAATCTTTTTCTTTAATTTAACACCAACAAAAAATTTTAATCACTTTCTAAATTTATAATTTTTTACTCTTAAAATTGTCTCTCTCATTTTTTTTTTTCAATTTCTAAAATTTTAACAAGGTTTCTCCTTTTTAATTTTTTTTCTTACTTTTAACATATTTACTATCTATATATTTTTCTCTCTTTTTATATGCAATATTTCTCTCTAAAATTGGTTTGTAAACCTTTTTTAACTTCTTTTTTCCTCTATAAAATATCTTTTAGCTATAAAGTTTTTACCCTCTTATTTGTAACTTCTCATTTTTTTACCTTTTTTTTCTAATCTTTTGTCTAAAATTTCTATCTATTTATATATTTTTTTCTCTCTAAACCTTTTTCTAACATTCTTCCTCTCTTTGAAAAGTCTTCTCACCTTTTTAACTTTCTTGTATTTATAAATTTTATCCCTAAGAAAGCCATTTTCTTACCTCGTACTTGTCCGGAGAGTTAATTTTCTTACCTTAAACTCATTTCATCAGATTAAGACTAAAACTTGAGAAATTATATAACATTATCAAAACAAAAAAAAGAAGAAGAAGAAAACACTCAAAATAAAACAACAAAAATGTCCAAACCCAACATTGAAAACACTAGAACCTAGAAACAAAATCAAGTAGGTGAAAAACATCACTTTTCCAGTATTGAGTTCTTTGATGAAATTAAAGGTTTAAGTTTAAATTTCATTGAGCCACCCAATCAAGTACGGGGTAAAAAGAATTTTTTTTTTAAGTATTTCTATTTCAGCCTAAAATATTTTCTCGCTTTTTAATTATTTATTGTCTTTTTTTTCCGTTGCATTTAGAACAATTCTCTCTAATTTTTTAACTTTTTGTTTGTAAACCTCTTTTCTCTCTAACTTTTTTTCCTTCAACTTCTTTTTTTTTGGGACCTCATTTTACCTCTTACTTGATGGGTGAATTTGATTTTTTTCCTTAAATTTATTTCATCAAATTAAGACTTAAACTTGAAAAACTATTTAACTTGAACCAAAAAAACACTCAAAATCAAACTACAAAAATTTCAAAAGAAATAAGGAATAGTTAAAAACTATGAAAAAGATAATTTTAGAGAAAAGGTAAAAAATGAAAGAATTTAGAAAGAAAAAAGAGTAAGATAAAGAGAGGGGACAAAACTTTTAGAATGGACAAAAAAATTAGAAGTATAAATTATTTAAGGAAGAGAAACTAAGTTTAAAAAGTGGAAGATAGAAAATAAAGTTAAGTGGACAAATCAAGAAATAGAAAGATAAGGTGGGAAAATAATAATTTTTTTTATCCTTGTATTTGACCGAGAGAGTCAATTTAATTTGAACTTAAACYTTTAATTTCATCAAAGAACTTCAAACTTAAAAAAGTAGTGTTTTTCACCTAGTGATCTTGTTGCCAAGTTATAGTATTTTAAATGTTGGGTTTTGAAATTTTTGTAGTTTGATTTTGAGTGTTTTTTTGGTTCAAGTTAAATAGTTTTTCAAGTTTAAGTCTTAATTTGATGAAATAAGTTTAAGGAAAAAAATCAAATTCACCCATCAAGTAAGAGGTAAAATGATGTCCCCCAACAAAAGAAGTTGAAGAGAAAAAAAATTAGAAAGAAAAGAGGTTTACAAACAAAAAGTTAAAAAATGAGAGAGACTTGTTCTAAATGCAACAAAAAAAAAAAGACAATAAATAATTAAAAAGTGAGAAAATATTTCAGGGTGAAATAGAAATACTTAAAAAAAATGATTTTTTCTTTTTACCCCGTACTTGATTGGGTGGCACAATGAAATTTAAACTTAAACCTTTAATTTCATCAAAGAACTCAATACTTGAAAAGTGATGTTTTTCACCTTCTTGATTTTGTTTCTAGGTTCTAGTGTTTTCAATATTGGGTTTGGACATTTTTGTTGTTTTATTTTGAGTGTTTTCTTTTTCTTCTTCTTTCTTTCTTTTTTTTTTTGTCGATGTTATATAATTTCTCAAGCACATCAGCCGACATTTCCATTTCCTGAAATAAATTGAGCAATTATTCAGTGAATTGCATTCGTTAGGTTTCTATAAATGTCCAACAGTCATGGTGTTACATAAAAGGCATTTAACTAGTCAATGGAAACTATATAGTCTACTTGAATTCTCTTACCAATATGAATACTAGATTAACAAAATGATCAAATTCTGTTCTGAGAAAGAGACGACAGCACTTACATATCTACGGGTAGCACCATCCAAATATGACTTTGTATGGACATGAAAAGGCCATCTGAGAGGTCAATCACAAGGTCACAACATATCTGAATACTGCAGAATGTTAGATCCTGAAAAGAACAGCCTTTCAAATACTACAGACGTTTTAGAAGGATACAGATTGTATACAACACGATGATTGATGTCACAATGGGCATTCAGTTAAAAAATACGAGGTCCAATGCAAAGGGAGTCAAAAACTTTGATATGTACTCTCAAAAAAAAAAAAAAATGGAACTTACAGGAAATGCATTGTGTATACGCACAAAAAAGAGGGAAATAAAGAGTACACTTTCAGCAACTCTGATAGCTTGTGGGATTCTACTGTGTACCAGCAGCAGCCTCCATCTTTACACTCACTGCTTGCATTTCTTCAGTCAATGATTTCAATTGAATCTAGTTTTACAAAGTTCAATTAAATTTAGATAAAAGACCCAAACAAATAGACACCTTATCCATAGATTAGATACATTACTCGAATTAGAAAATCACAGCACAGAAACATACCTTACAGGCCACTTCTAAATGAAGAAGGTATTTGTCAAAATCTAACTCTGCCATATATCTGGAAGGAGTTTTTTGTTTTCGTTCCATGTCTGTCTTGTGTCGTTTCTCTTATCCATGCTTCTTAGACGAACAAAATCTAACTCTGCTACATATGCCGTAGAAGACTTTAAAATAAATAATATAACATCCTATTAACATCAAACTGATCATATAGTATGCTTAAAAGACCCAAAAGCATCTATATCTCCCACATCTTATGTCCAGAATAGATTGATACCTGCTCGCTCTTCCATGCTTCTTCATAACAAGGTTTTTAAGATGCATATTTTATGTGTTTTGCATCATGTGAGATAGAAAAAAGTAAGAGAAGCTGTACCTACCTGATTCAACTTTGGGATATTCCCACCCGTTTTGTTCTGTCAAGGAAGCAGAGCAGACCTCCCGTTTTGCTCTCTTTCTCGACCGATGTTCGAGTCAGAAAGAGTTGCTCATCAGGACTATTTGTTTGGGCATAGTTAATGGGAGACTATCAAACACCTTGAGAGGTTTTCTAATTTGGCGGAAATCCCAAACTTGAGAAAATCGTTAATAAGTAGGAGAAGAAGAAACAAGTGACAGTGAACATCGTCTGAATATACCTTCAGCGAACCATCAAAGCTTCTTGACAGTAATATATTCCCATCACTTCAAAACTAAAGCACACCCGAATGATTATTTTCATTTTTCAACGTGTATTTCAGGCCTGCGACTGCTTCCCCATCCAGAACAGGATTAAGGGACCATATCTGTTAGAAACATACGAAGTAATCAAGATGTTAATGCATGATTTCAAAGCGAATTTATGTTGAAGAAATGAACAGAAATAGTCAAAATGCAAGCAAACTATGCAATCGAAACATTCCCATTTCTACACTTACCTGGAGTAGCTTTATAATCGCCGTCGCCCAAGCAGAAATCAGAAATCGAAGCAATTAGAAAACGGAGAAAGTAATTGGGTGATGATTCCAGCGAAAACATGGATCGGAAGAGATTTACCTTATAATCCCCATCGTGGCCGGCGCACTGTGTCACAACCATACTAGTAGAGAGTAGGTTGTGACGCCCACGTAGTGTGCAAGTGTCAGCGACAAGCATATGTCGCCCATCGGGCCATGTCAAGGGCCGATAGTGAAGTGCCGTGATGCGACCAAGGAGGATGGTGCA